TTCACTTTAATGGACAATTTCCATGTAAAACAAAGTCAAACGAACACTAAACTTTGTTGAAAAAAATGATTTTTTAGGAAACAATTTTTTTTCATTTTTTGGCAATGGAAACAAATTTTATAACCAATTGTGGAAAAAAATATCACTTTAATGGACAATTTTCATGCAAAACAAAGTTAAACGAATACTAAACTTTGATAAAAAAATGATTTTTTAGGAAACAATTTTTTTTTACTTTTTGGTAATGGAAACAAATTTTATAATCAATTATAGAAAAAATTATCACTTTAATGGATAATTTTCATGTAAAATAAAGCCAAACGAATAGAAATTTTTAAAATTTTTCAGGTGAAAAATTATACCAATCAAACACATTTAATTAACAATTCTCTGCAAAATAATTTCTAGGCAATTACTTTCCCTGGAAATTATTTTCTTTTCACCAATTTTTCACCCTTACAATCAAACGGACCCTTAGAGACCTTTAAAGTGGAATAGAAAATCTGATGTACGGAATGTAACGATTGAGTAATTAATTTGTCACATTTTTTTCAAATGTTGTAGCAGTTAAATCTGAACGGCAAACTTTTGACGTTGCAAACGAAAATTGACAGCTTTTCCAGTACCGGCAAACTCGTGAAAAGATCTGGTCTAAAACCCTGCTTAGTTAGTGCCGAAAACTTGAGGTTTAGATTTCGGAGGTAGGGAAGTTCAAAGTTTTTAGGCCACACAAGGTCCTAATCTACTAATGCCAATTCCAGTTTCACTAGGGACTTGCACGAAAAAAACAATCTGGAAGCTTTTGGACTTCATCAATGCTTCCATAGAGGGCAAGCTTCTTAACATTCTTGATCGGAACATGACACTGATGTGAAGGTGAAATGTAGAGTTCAAATACATGAACATCTGACTCATCATGATTAGCAAGCATTCGATTGATGAAATTCGAAAAAGCGTGCCTCCTCCTAGAGCCAGACCAGAGGAGAGGCTCAAGAGGCTGCCGCCTCGAGTCCAGCTCTTTAGAGGGCCCAAACCCACTAATTATATTCAAAACCTTCCATTCCTAATTGTCTAGCAGCCTGCTGAAGAAATCAAAACCTAGATGGCTTCTTCAACAATGATATTGTAAAAAGTTAAGTCCTTAACAACGTATGAACTTGAGAATTTTGAGTTTTTGCTTGGCAGGTAATTTGGTATAAGTTATCGTATGTAATTACTACCATGGGTAAATTTTTTCCATCCTAAAACTTGGATATTGATAAAGCCATCAAGCTTTTACAAGCACTTTTTTTACTTCTCGAAGATTATAGAGAATTTGAGTTGGCTAGTGCCATGAATGAAGCTAAACTAATGACAAGTGAAATAAGAATTGAAGTTGTATTTCAAGAGAAACGTAGCATTCGAAGAAAGAATCACTTCTATGAAAGTGGCAATGAAGAAGTAACACAATTAGTTGAAGAATCTTTTAGATTTGATTATTTTCTCTTTAAAATTGATCAAACTCGATCTTGACTACATAATATTTTTAAACAATTTAAACATTATGAAGAAACGTTTGGATTTTTGTTTAATTTGGAGAGATTAAAGAGTACACATGTTTACAGTTGGTTGAAATCTTGTGAGAATCTTGAGTAGTATTTGAAATATAATGAACATTTAGACATTATTGGTGATAATTTATGTTTGAAGTGACAGTCTTGAAATGCTATTTTCCTAGAGAAACGTAATGAGCAATTGATGTGCTACGTGACTTGATGAAAATGAATGATTGTTTCCCAAATGCTTGCATTGCTTAAAAGATTTTGCTAATCATACCAATTACAGTTAGGCCCTGTTTGATTGGCGAAATTTTTCACGGAATTAGGAAATTTTTTTCCGTTTTCCATATTTTGCATTGTTTGACAGCCAAATTTTCCACGGAAAATATTTTCCCACCCCATCAGCCACGTCAGTATTTTCCATGAAAATATTTTCTCACCTTTTTGGTGGGAAAATATTTTCCAGCTGGCTGCTCTATTTTTTTTTTTTTTGCAATGGAAACAAATGCCATAACTAATTGTAAAATTTTTTCCATTTTAATGGACAATTTTCATGTAAAACAAAGTCAAAAAAATACTAAACTTTGATTGAAAAATGATTTTTTAGGGAACAAATTCTTTTTTTTCGTTTTTTTTTTTACTTTTTGGCAATAGAAACAAATTTTATAACCAACGGTGGAAAAAAAAAATCACTTTAATGGACAATTTTCATGTAAAATAAAGTCAAACGAATAGAAAATTTAAAAATTTTCCGGGTGAAAAATTATACAAATCAAACACATTTGAAATCATTTTCCATACAAAATATTTTCTAGACAAATCTTTTCCTTGTAAAACATTTTCTTTCCACCAATTTTCCATCATTGTAATCAAACGCACCCTTATATTAGTAGAAAGAAGTTTTTCCAAGTTAAAATGATCAAGACTTTGAATAAATTGACCATGTTATCCATTGAAAAAAAAAAAATGGTTGAATAACTCCATTATTTAAAATTGATTCATATTTTTGCCTCTAAAACTGCAAGACGATTAGGTAATCATTTGGAACATTTTTATATTCTTATTTAATTGTGATATAAACATTTTGAACATTTTCCTTTAATTATTGTTAATTTTAAATTAACAAATGGCAATAGAAACAAATTTTATAACCAACGGTGGAAAAAAAATCACTTTAATGGACAATTTCCATGTAAAACAAATCCAAACGAATAGAAAATTTAAAAATTTTTCGGGTGGAAAATTATACAAATCAAATACACTTGAAATCATTTTCCATACAAAACATTTTATGGACAAATCTTTTCCTTGTAAAACATTTTCTTTCCACCCATTTTCCATCATTGCAATCAAATGCACCCTTATATTAGTAGAAAGAAGTTTTTCCAAGTTAAAATGATCAAAACTTATTTTGCGATCAACTTTGTCACAACAGAAATTGAATAAATTGACCATGTTATCCATTGAAAAAAAAAAGGTTGAATAACTCCATTATTCAAAATTGATTCATATTTTTGCCTCTAAAACTGCAAGACGATTATGTAATCATTTGGAACATTTTTATATTCTTATTTAATTGTGATATAAACATTTTGAACATTTCCTTTTATTATTGTTAATTTTAAATTAACAAATTTAGTTCCTTAAACATTTTATAAAAAAAAAAAAAATTGATTGATTGTTACGATTTAAGAACTCAAATTCTCAAGTTCACCCTAAATATTGCGAAACATAGGTACGGCCTTGCCTCTTCCTTTCCACTTCTGGAAAATGATTGTACTAAAAAAAGAGTCTTGGAAGGGAACAGAATGTCGTCCTCCAGGTTTTAGGCAAAACGCTTGTTCTTGTAGTATAATTGTTGGAAGGAATGTGAGAACGTGCCTCTGAATTTCTTTTGGCAACCTACTCATGTCTGTTGGCACTTTCCATGATTCGATAAATATAGTCACCCCCCATTTGATCCCCATTATTCACCAAACGGGCACTCAAACA